AATAAATAAATATATTTCTGTTATATGTGCTTCCTTCGCTTTTTCCCCTCCCGAATAATTAATAAGTATGAGAAGTCGTTTAAAGTCCTCCAATTTGGACTGCACTGGATTTCAAGTCCGCGCAATTAGTTCCAGTCCGAACATCAAAATTCTAATGCTCATAGGACAACTGTTATTTCAAGCTACATGACTGGCTCATTTCAGGTAACAAACGAAGGAGCTGGTATTTCCATTATCAAAAATTCAAATATCATTGGTAACTTTTCTTGTATGTATCATACACAAATTCTCTTAAGCGTGTTTGTATTCTTTGCATCGAACTTTGGCGCAAAAACGTACGCAAATGATGGTAGAAATCGGTCTTAAGTAAACGATCAACGACGTCCGTCAATCATTTGACTTCATAGATCAGAAGACCAAAACACACTTATCACACTTGGTTTTAAGGAAAGAACAGAGAAACTCAACTCAATCACACACACAGTGTGTTATTAAACTTAAGTAACTTACGTCATGAAGCTACGACTTCACGAAGATTAATGATTTATGAGACATCGTCATTTGGTAAGATAAACAAATAAATAAAGTATTTTCAATTTTCATAAGAGATCGACAAGTTTAAAAAAACAAAAAAAAACAAACGAAAGCTTAAGCTATGTAAGCTTAAGCTACAAGATGAGAGCTTACCTTCTGATCGTCACTCGATCTGCGAATTTTTTCCTCGACTTTCAGGCCCGACATTGTTACAGCAATATACTTACTTACTTACGGCCTATATGAAATGAGGTCAGCAAAATCATAAGGTCATAAAAATGGAAAGAAATTGATTACAGTTGAAGAAGACCAAACAACAGAAAACATGGCGGACAACGCTACAAACACGTGTTGTATTATATGGGATTGTGGGTAAAATTCGTAGCACAGGGAGACCAATTATCATTCGTCCGTTTCATTTGARCTATTTTATAAACTGTACTGTACCACTGATGGATTTGAAGAAAAGGGTAAAATATCCGATTAACGCCATCACAACGACATCATTCAAAATAGACTAATAGCTAATCCTGTTTCTGAGTCAGCGRGTTTGTTTCAAAAAATTACTAATCATCACATTATGTCGATCGGGCCTCCTGTGATGACAAGACGCACTGATTAGAAATGCGTGACCTTCTTCCTGTGGAAAGAGATTACAATACATTATTGTAATGATTGGTTGCAAGTCATCTTCCAAGCTTCCAAGAATGCTTTATGAATCTTTCTTTATTTTTGTGTGTATGACAATGACTTCATGTAGAACTATCAAAAGAGACTCTTTCAACGACGAAAATGTCCAAAAGCTCAAACTTGAAGTTAGACAACAACAGGATACAGCCGACAAAATCATCCAGTTCATCACCAACGGCCCAGCAAAGCATCAAGTCTACGAACGACTCGCTWATTTTACCGATACCTTTGGATATCGCGTGGCTGGCTCTATAAACCTAGAAAACGCCATTGACTACATGCTCGAGGAGTTACGGAAAGACGGATTGGAAAACGTCCACGGTGAGCCAGTAAATGTGACTCATTGGGTCCGGGGGAGGGAGTCAGCACAGATGATACAACCAAGGAATCATCAAATGAGTATTTTGGGGCTTGGATCCAGCGTCGGAACACCCCCAGAAGGAATCACTGCTGAGGTTTTGGTGGTAAAGTCGTTTGACGAGTTGAAACAGAGATCAAATGAGGTAAACCTCATATTATTTCAAAATATGAAATAAAAGAACGTTGTAGTGTTTAGAAGGAGGTTATTCCGGAAGAAAGGAAAATTAATTTCCGTTCTCKCTGGGATTCGAACCCACGACCCTCGGATTTGTWCAACCTGAGATACAAATGCAGCATTCTGATTGGCTACTGAACTACGGAGAGAAAATAGTGGAATGTCTTTATATATTATGGTCTTTTATCATATAATTATCTATGAAATACCTATATTTCTCCATTACGTAAAATTGATATTTTCACTAGTGAAAATAACACATTCGAGGTTTCTCTATATAGTGGAAGTAAGAAAATAGATATTTTCCGACATAATTTGCTTTCATATTTAATTATATGATAAACAGAATATTACATGGTCGCTTTGAGATACGAATTTTATCTTCTCGTGTTGAAAATCGCTACGCTCACTCGTGAGAGATCTTTTCAACACTCGAAGATAAAATCCGTATCTCCGCGCGCCCATGTAATATCCTCTATATCTCAAACTTTTGACGTGATGATATTCCATTCGGTCGGTCAAGTACGGCCTCGTAGCCTGTGAACTCGTATTCCAATAACATGAAAAAAGCGTGTATTTGTCAGGTGGCAGTCAGGTGTATTTGTCATGTGGCAGTCAGATCCTACGAGCTGCTGTTAGGATGTGATTGCTTGTAAAACTGTCTATCCATATCTGCATATCAATGTCGGGCCACACATTGCCTGAAAGTTGAGTGTCTACAATTCTTTCTTTTTTTTCGTCCACGTAATTTTTGTATCGAAACGTTTTCTCACTCTTTTTTTGGTACTTTTGCGAATGTTTTCAAATTCATATGCGGAGGCCACCCGTAAATTCGCCGCGTCATCCGTCATTTCTTCTCTAATACTAATATAAAAATTAGGTAAAACCTAATAGCGGAGCTCCCAAAAGATATGCATGTTGGATAAAGATGGGATGCAAGACACATTGGCCACATTTTTAGTACATGTTTTGTCAAGACTAATTTATTTTTTCTAACAAAAAAAATTCCATTACACTACATTAAATAATTATTAAATATTTTCTCCGAGTTATTGGTGGACAGATTATGTAGTGTCGCTAACTCTCTCCTGTAAACTTGAGCCTGCATTGCTTTTGATTCAATTGGCGAATATTCAAATAATTTAAGGGTTAGAAAGCAAAAAGACAATACAAAGTATTCAAGTATCCACGTGTCTCAAAGTGCCCATGTAGTTACATTTTTCAATAGTTTTTTATGAGAAGAACAAATCGATTTTGCTTTGGGATCTGCATTATCACTTCGCCAAGTKTGGAGAAGTTAGGGGTTTCCTGTGAACTTTGATCATTTTCCGTGACGCTATTTATCGCCAATAATCACTACATAACAAYACTCAAAATGAGCTGAGTTGTGACTATAGTTGTACATTTTACGCTAGGCAAAGGGCAAGATCGTGGTCTTCAACGAGAATTACATCTCTTACGGGGAAACGGTGGCTTATAGAGACTATGCTGCCTTKCATACCGCAGAGGTTGGGGGCGTCGCGTCTCTTGTTAGGTCGGTCACGCCTTTTTCTATTAACAGCCCTCATACTGGATGGCAAGATTACAAAGAAGGTTTGAAACATGTTAGAGTTTGTTTTGCTTTATATGTCTTACCATAGATGTTGTCAATTAATACACTACGGYTCAATGAACAAACACGTTTGTAGCATTTTGTAATCGGGGAGAGGGGTACCTATAATTTCGGAGAAAGTTTTCTATTTATTCCATCATAGTCTACTGTATTGAGCCTATTACAGTTTCYAAGACCGAAGTACATTGTTGTTCGGGCTATCGCTGTTGAAAAGGAGATTTCGTGGCGCCAGAGTGGCTGTAACAGCCCCATACATTCAAGAACGGAAAGTAATTAAGTTTAGAATTATCAATTTGTAAGGCAAATAACGTCGGCGGAGTTTAATAACAATGCATTGCGGTCTTGGAATGCACCTGCAGTTGACAGTATTCAACATTTCCTGTATACACATATTTCAAAGAACCTCGGCGAAAACGGTCGAACGACGATTTTTGAAGGGAGATGGCATAACCAAAAGGGACTRTGCCTACGTAGTCTGGTGCCTTTGCAGCGTCCTCTTTTGTCGGGCTTCCTGTCCCTCCCAAAAGAAGAGGGACAGGAAACCCGACAAAAGGGGACGCTGCGAAGGACACTAATGGTTATACGCTATTTGGCATACAAAATTTCACTTGCTTTTCATCTTGCGTGAAAATGGGGACTAAATGAAGCCAGTGTTTAGCACACAGTTACACTATAAATCAGTATTTATTTTTTCTAAATTAGCAAAACCCATGGTCATTTCGGTTGTGAGTGAATCATTGTTCGACAATGTCGTTCGTTCTCCATTTTATAAACCTATTTCAAAAAAGGTTTTCGGATAAAACGACTAATTGTCGAAAGTAGATACCTGATAACTGTGAAATAACTGRTTTATACTCTAATATAGTCTGTCGTCATTTTCACGTAATAGTGTGCATTATGTCAAACAGCTAAACCGCAGTCCGACGTTCTCTCGACAAGCTTTTTTGAAATAACTGACAGCGTTTGATTAGGTATCCAGAAGATCCCCACGGCTTGCATTACTGTTGAGGATGCCGAAATGATGAGCCGTATGGCTGCCAGAGGAACAAAAATCGTCATCACACTNTTTTTAGATATCAATTTTTTTGCTGGATTCCAGATTATGGATTCCAAATATTTGGATTCCGGATTCCAGGATAGGGATTCCGGATTCCAAAGCTGCTTTTTTAGTGGATTCCGGATTTCGGATTCTCTTACACGGGGCGAAGCTCAACCGCAGTCCGACGTTCTCTCGACAAGCTTTTTTGAAATAACTGACAGCGTTTGATTAGGTATCCAGAAGATCCCCACGGCTTGCATTACTGTTGAGGATGCCGAAATGATGAGCCGTATGGCTGCCAGAGGAACAAAAATCGTCATCACACTCAAGATGGAAGCTAAATCTTTACCACGTGTATCATCAAGAAATACTGTTGCAGAGATTATAGGCAGCAAATACCCGGAGCAGGTAAGAMCCAGATGGAATCCAGAACATCCTAAGAAGGCAGTAGGGATAGGAAGAAACCGTATCAAAGATATGGTATGCAGTCTTGAATTGCGCGAGATTTGATAAGGGACCTTTAAAACAAAGGAATATTYCCAGAGCTCGAAGTATGTCTATCGTGATTGACTGATCATTGAAGTTCGGAAAAACTTTGTAAATGACAAAAMCTTTCTGTGGTAGATGGTTTAGATCTATGCTTCCGAYATTTAAAACATAATGATGAAATACATCCGGTCAATTAATATTTTGTTGAGTTTGTGTTAGAATTTAGTTTTTTTTAACTCTAAGTAATCTTAATGAACATGTGACATGAACGTTAATTTTTAACTCACTTTGATTCCATCTCAACGCTCTGATCGAAACCATTYTAGGTTTACTCAAGAAAGTAATTYTGGYACAATTTKCTTTAATGCGAAAGAATTTCTGTCATTACATTGTAAAATTGATAAAAGGAGAGGGGAATCACCTAAGACGTAAGGTGGCAAGGAATCCTATTCAAAGAATGTTACAGATGTTAAGTAAAGTTGTGAGACAATACAATGAAGTGTTTGTTTCTAAATTCGCCAGGTGGTGCTAGTCAGCGGTCATTTAGACAGTTGGGATGTCGGCCAAGGTGCGATGGATGATGGCGGAGGGGCTTTTATCTCATGGCAAGTACTCTCCGTCATCCGACAATTAAACCTCCGACCAAAACGTACACTCCGGGTGGTACTGTGGACTGGTGAAGAAGAAGGACTCCTCGGTGGTATCCAATATTACAATGTCCACAAGCTCAATATCAGTAATTATGACCTGGTACTGGAGTCCGATGAAGGTACTTTTAAACCACTTGGACTTGCCTTCAAAGGATCTGTTCAGGCCCGTGATATTATGCAAGAAGTATTAAATCTGCTAAAGTCAATAAACGCGACCAAGCTTACCACCAGTGATGTTGGAGGAGACATCGTGGAATGGGTTAGAGGTGGAGTCCCTGGTGGTACATTGTCCAACGAAAATGATAAGTATTTCTACTTTCATCATAGTGATGGGGATACCATGACAGTTTTAAATGCTGATGAGCTGGACTTGTGTGCAGCAACTTGGGCGGTTATTGCTTATACAGTAGCTAACTTGGATGAAATGCTACCACGATAATAGTAAGACCCCTATCGATATTTTATACAACGCTTGACTTCAAAAATCGAATATGTTGTGAGACCGGATTCAATGCATTTAATACGTGTAATTAAATGTAATTAATATAGATTACAACTTTTATATGTGTGTTTTGTTCATTCACTGCTGGAATTTATCATAAAGTTATTATTATGATTACAAGAAAATTGTGGTATGGAAACAAATTCATTCGCCGTGCTGTCCGATCACACGGAACTTCGCTTGTTATTGACGCCGTAGAAAAATAATAAAGGCGACAGCCTAAAAACGATACCAGGATTAAACTAGGTTACGGTCATGCATAACTCTGTTACTTTGAGTCTAGAATTGTTTTTGATGTCACCTCATAGACGTCTTTGCGTCGAATCTTGCATTTTTCGCTTTAACATCATTATCAACAGCGTCATCATTTAGAAATTCCCTTGATAGAGCTCCCATCAAGTACAGCTGCTGTCTCGTTACTTCACCACTGGAATAATCTACTTTAGACAACTTTTCAAGCAATTCCTCATTTTCCTCCAAACTTTTCAGGATGTCTTTGGTTTCTAAGCCATATTTCATGGAAAATTCAAGCTGCTTCTCGTATAAATAGAGTCGATTACTTGCTAAGCGTCTCGAGTTGGGTATCAGACGAAGTTTCGGCTCTTTCTCAGCTTCCTTTCTATCTCTAGGTCGTTTCTTGGCATCTGGAGCCGGAATTGGCGGGAAAAAATTGTTCGTTGTCTTGGTCGTCCGAGGAATGATTAGATTATAGCCGTCAATGAAGTCTTTGTCTTTGCCGGCGTCGAGTCTTTGCCACGTTCCCCAGTTTTCCAAATCTTTGGTTTGTGGATATATTTCTCGCCTCTTTCTGAAGGATTCGGAGGACTTTTCCTCTCTGAAAAGTCTATGTGGTGAATGTGTCGTCTTTCTTTCCAGCACGTCGCCGCTAGTAAAACTGTTGATATAAAAAAGTTGTCGGTTGTTAGACTTTGATAAGCTTTTCCGTGTTTCCTTTGCCCCTGAGCCGTTCAAAATTACAAGCCGAGCTTTTTCAACCGCAATGCGTTTTGCGAGCATCTTTTGCTTTTGTTCGGCATTGGAAATTTGAAGTCGATACGTGTCCCTCAGCTTTTTCTTGAGTCCAAGAGCCGAAAGCTTTTCTTCCAGCTCGTTAACTTTGTTTTCTAAAAGTTCTTGTTGAATCTGTAGCCTTTCAAGGTCGTTTAAACTTTCTTCCGACTTTTTAATTCCTAAAAATGTTTGATCTGATTCTTCATTATCACTGTCTCTGGCAGTTTCATTAATAGCTGCAACCTCTTCGTCTTCTACATCTGCACCAACCTCGAAACTTTCGTTGACTTTTTCAACTGTCTTGGAACCTGCATTAGTAGTGGACGTATTAACATCGAGCAGCGACATCGSTGAATTCTCAAGAATTTTCTACTTCTACAACGCAAAATATTAAGTCTATATAATGCTGTAATGCGGTCTTCTTGAAATTTGTGGGTTTTGCACTCCAGTGAAAGAATATTTTTACGGTATTCTAAGGCTCTATAAATATCAGTGTTTGATGGTGATTACCGAGAAGGCGAACTTTGAATATGTAAAATAGCTAAGTGTTTCAGCGAATGGAATTGAGCTTATTTATAAAAGTCACTTGATGTTTGCGACACAAACGTTAATATTTTATAACCAACACATTGTCCCTATCAATCATTTAATTGTAGCTCGATTATAATAGACTTGGGTGTTTATTTTTCATTCCGTAGCAACGAATACAGTCAATTATAAAGGTCAAATTTCAGAAAAGACAATTTTAACTTGATTTCCTGTATGTTATCTCTAAAGAAATTGAGCGACAAGAGCGAACTCAAACTGAAAACAATAAAACACGGAAAATGGTTAAACATATTTTTTTCTAGTACTCACCGCGAAAACTGGAAATGTTCCAAAAAACAAACCATCGACCGAGAACGAAGGCGACTATAATGTTTTGAGGAACATCCAGTTTCCAAGGGCAACTATTACAGTAAAATACCCGAGATTTTTTATTATTATTATTAAACAACAAAATATTCTGATGCGGAGGCCTCTCTATCCACTGATAGTTAGAGATTTTTAGATTAACGTTTACTGCAAACGCCAAACGTCAATTTGGCTTTTATTTTTTTTTTTATTTGTAATATCTTTATTTTATATCAATATTAGATTTTACAAAAAGTAGTTACATAACTGAGAAAAAACAAAAAAGAAAACAAAACAAATGAAAAAACGAAAGAAAAGAAATATACATAAAGGAGGAGGGATAAATATACATAACAAAAATTTTATCTTATCCAGAAACATAAGGGAGAAGTTTGTTCCATTTTTCGTAATGATATAAGAGTCTATTGTTTTTTATGCTATCCTGTATTCAATATTGTAAGTGTACTTAATTTTTAGTGTAAATAAAGAAATAGATGGATATATTTTAGACAAGCTGCACTTATATATGTAGTATTTAGCTAATATAATGATATGATTAATAAGGATATAATCGTCTTCTTGATCTAAGATACCAAGGATAATATCCATTTCACACGAAACTCTCATTTTTATTTCAAAAGTTGATAGCCAAGAAATTACTGCTTTCCAAAAATCATTTGTAACTTTACATGTTACTAGTAAGTGTTCTAGGGTTTCAATTTGCTTATCACAGAAAGAACACATAGCGGTGTCAGATTTTCCAATTTTRTATRATAAGTTATTTGTGAAAACTATRTTATGAAGTATCTTAAATTGAAACTCGCGAGTTTTACTATCCAAACAACATTTGGCTGGAAGAGTATAAAAAATTTGGCTTTTATGCTTTGTCTCAAAATTTCAAACAAATGTAAAAAGGCTTCGAAAGGAATAGTGATGCGCTTATGCACGAAAAAGTTATCTATTTTATACACAATCGCGAAAGAACGGAGCGTTAATACAGAAAAACAGAATGATCAGTTTTGACGTTTGGCATGCGCCGTATATAATATTGTGACAGAGTAAGGGTGGGCTGCAAATTTTCCCAAGGTTTTTTTGACTTTTCCTCCAGACCACCCTGAGGCATATTTAATGAACAGTCCCTAATCATTCGTCGGAGTACAGAAATGAAACTGTTTGATGGACGACTTTGCTAAAACCCGAATACTGAACACTATACATACCATGATTTTGTGTTACACCTAATTGAAAAAACGTAGTCACATCATAGAAGCTAAGACCGAAAGGGATTTNGGTAACTGTGCGGTAACGGTGTCCCACTCATACGAAATCCGCTCTAATGTAGCACTGTGAATGTACATCCACCATATGTGGGAATTATATGATAGGCTCTACTCAGCTCCATTAAACATCCCTCACAAATTATCAAATATTCCTGCCAACATATCATCAACTTCTACTGACTGATGACCACCAAGCTTGAAAACAAACATTAGAATGAAGCAGATTACAGTGTTGTTGTTTCTATAATCAGTAATAATTAGCATTCACATTTTCTTGATCTCAATGTTGTAAGAAAAAAGTTGTTATGGATACAGTGTGCATTGGCTTTTGTCTTTACATAGTTACTAACTATGGTCTTTATATCTGCAGTTGGTCTATTTATTAACTGGTCAAAAAGTGTACAAAGATGATGACAATGTTAGATCAGCTGATTTTGGTTCAACAATTGTGCTTAGATAATCACATTTTAATTAAAGGAAGGAGGTATAAATCTGTGAATTATTTTGTGCACCATATCTATGATTTTAAATTACAAGATTTCCTTAATATAGTGATTTCTGTGCTTTATAATTTTATTTGTTGTTCAGTGATTGTCTTATCTATGCACAATGATTCAGAAAGAAGAATTATAAACATGAATTACAGATGAAAAGAAAAATATGGCATTAAATACACTGTAGCGTACATGTAGCAATTTCCGTTGGATTTATTTGATTAATAGATTTTTAGGATTCAATAAAGATCAAAGAATGAATGAAGTGTTTTAACACTACTGCAAAGTACTTTCCCTCAGTTGTGACAGTTGTTGTGTCTACAAAGTCAAATCCAGTCTTTTCTGTTATTTTTATACATTCAAATGTCAAAAGTTATGAGATTGTAAATCAAACAATAATAATAATAATAATTTATTTCTTAAATGTTGATCGTGGTTAGATGGTTTCTTAACTGGGCAGGTCAGCACATAGACAAATATGACTAGCCAAAATTACCAAACAAGAAATAGATCAATAGCTTACCACTTTCATCATCTGAAAGAACTTTGCATATCTTGGATCCTTTGACACTGTCATTGCTGTGAATCATGACCCAAAACAATTTTTTAATGTCAAGCTACACAATAATACTAACTTATTAGTGTCAAATTATCAATTCTATATCAAGAAGTTTCTTTTAAAACTTGTTGTTGTCACACAAACATGATTGTCTAACACAACTTGAAGATTGCTAGGATACCAATAGAAAAAAAAAACTTGATGGGAATCAGAGTAGGGACCTTAAAGTGCACCTAACACCTCAAAAATGACATTAAAAAAATAGGGAAGTTTCTAGGAGCTTAGTAAAAAAAATGACTTGATTTCATTCAAAAGTCGAGTTTCGCGATCTCTTTTACACTGTGTTAGCCTCAAAACCAAGTAACATATTCTTTTGTTTCATTGATAGCTCGAGAAAACGCATGGAATTTTGTGAAGACAATAAATTTGATTTGAAATCTCACACTTTTACGCTCACAATAAAGAATATTTTGCGCACAAATGAGGCTAACACAGAGCATTGGAGAATTCGAAACTGGAGTATTAGGCGTATACTGAAGACCTTCCTTTTGTTTTTTAATGAAAATTTGCATATTTTTTTTTATGTAACATTTATTTATCAATAAGTATTATATTTCTATTTGAACATTTTTGCAATAAACAATGTGATCATAATTTTGCAGCAACATCCCAGGAAAGCCACGTTGTTTAGAAAAAAACTCATGAATTCCTGATTACAGACAAGTTGAATGGCAAGCAAACTATTATCATTGTCATCACCATATCAAAACAATGCTCAAAACAACTTCTATTGAGAGTGGTAACTTTAAAGCCGTCAGTGGTGTTTGTATTGAATAAAAAATGTATACCATGCGGGATTCTTAGATTTTACCCTAAGAATATACTGTTTTTGATTTCTGTTTAATACATTGTTTTTATGATTGAGTTGTTTTAGTCTCACATTTTGCCAGAAGTATCACGGTTAAAAGATTGCATCAACATTACTATTGGTATTCACTGCCTTGTGATCTAATGCAGATGTATAAAAAAGTTGATTCCTAATTTGATCACTTCAACTTGATTATAATGATTGGGTTATATCTACATCTTACTCATCATCGTCACTAAAGGATGATGCTGATGACATTTCCTCATCAGAGTCTCCTTGAGGTTGAGGTGCCCCACCTCCAGGGGCTGGTGCATCAGGATTACTGAAATTAACCAATCAATCATCAATAAACCAATTTCTCAACCACTTTAGTTATTTTTTGACCATTACTCTTATGTTCAATTAAAGTATTACAGTAAAAACCCRTGTATAAGAACACCTATTTTGATGGTTCAGGCTGATTTGRTTCTTATRCAAGGGGTTATAATCTGCAAAATCAGTCTGTAAGTGTTCTTAAAATAAGGAACATACTAGGCTGCCAATAGATTAAGTCAATATATGCACACAATTTTAATCAATTAATACAATAACTCTTTTGTTTAATATTTTGTTACATATAATTGGGGTGGAACTATTATGTGTGCAATGAAAAGTAGTGTTGASATTTTTGACATTTTTCCATATAAGAACAACTTTCGTTTTTCAGGCTGAATGTGTTCTTATATAAAATGGTACTTTATTTCCTAAAATCAGACCTGGGTGTTCTTAATCCACTTGATGTTCTTATACATGGGTTTTTACTGYATTTTATATTTGACTAACTTATACCTAATATGTACTTGATTTTTGGACAGTTATAGAAATATTCTAAAGGTTTTCATGTCATAGAGTGCATGTCACAGAAGTGCAAAACAATTCATTTAGTTATCAACTTATTAAGAATTCAGTGAGGCATTGTGTTCATACCCGCCAGTGAATTCTTAGTTAGTTGACAACTAAATTGTATTTACTATTGATTTTTTAAGAATTGTTTCAGGGTTTTTTCACACACACTCTAGTAARTGTAAATGTTTTGGTCGTTTTGGTTTGAAATGTTTTTCTCTTCATAATTCTTCCAAAACCCTGACACTCCTAAACAAGCTGTAATTTACATCAATTAAGTATTGAAAAACAATACCATTGGCAACTAGTTTTCAAATAAAGTAAAATTACTCTATTTGATTTTGCATAATTCACAAATCACTAGTTTCTGATACTTTCTGAACCAATTMTTCAAAGAGCCTGTTGACATTTTTCTAGGAAGATTTATCAATGGTGATCATCCTATAAATGGGAAAAAATAMATGCTTGTTTACTTTATCAATAAATTAATTCTTACTCTAGCAAGTCAGGATCCAATCCCTCTGCTATCATTTTTGCTCTCAAAGCTCCTGGTGGTACACCCTGAAAATATGAGAAAAAAATAATTCCAATAATTGTTTTATAGTTTACAGACATATCATACATGTATTGTTCACAACTCATGATAACAGCACATGAACATAACCATGTGTATGTACATTTTTTGCCACACAGTTTGTGTGAATTCTTGTTCACTGTTTAGCTGATTGAGTGTGCCATCAAGACCTTCACAGCTATGGACAAGGTGTACATAATATTCATTATAATATGACCTGTATTTCGGCCCTACGCACGCTCTTAAAAAACCTATTAGAATCATTATATGATTGTATATCTATGTACAGTGGATTTCGTATGAGTGGGAAACGGACGGTACTGTACTGTGACCGTAATCGTACTGTAACCAAATTCTAGTGCCCCATTGGTTCACCAAAATTGTGCAGGCCAGGTCTGGTAACTGTGGGGTAACTGTGCGGTAACGGTGTCCCACTCATACGAAATCCGCTCTAATGTAGCACTGTGAATGTACATCCACCATATGTGGGAATTATATGATAGGCTCTACTCAGCTCCATTAAACATCCCTCACAAATTATCAAATATTCCTGYCAACATATCATCAACTTCTACTGACTGATGACCACCAAGCTTGAAAACAAACATTAGAATGAAGCAGATTACAGTGTTGTTGTTTCTATAATCAGTAATAATTAGCATTCACATTTTCTTGATCTCAATGTTGTAAGAAAAAAGTTGTTATGGATACAGTGTGCATTGGCTTTTGTCTTTACATAGTTACTAACTATGGTCTTTATATCTGCAGTTGGTCTATTTATTAACTGGTCAAAAAGTGTACAAAGATGATGACAATGTTAGATCAGCTGATTTTGGTTCAACAATTGTGCTTAGATAATCACATTTTAATTAAAGGAAGGAGGTATAAATCTGTGAATTATTTTGTGCACCATATCTATGATTTTAAATTACAAGATTTCCTTAATATAGTGATTTCTGTGCTTTATAATTTTATTTGTTGTTCAGTGATTGTCTTATCTATGCACAATGATTCAGAAAGAAGAATTATAAACATGAATTACAGATGAAAAGAAAAATATGGCATTAAATACACTGTAGCGTACATGTAGCAATTTCCGTTGGATTTATTTGATTAATAGATTTTTAGGATTCAATAAAGATCAAAGAATGAATGAAGTGTTTTAACACTACTGCAAAGTACTTTCCCTCAGTTGTGACAGTTGTTGTGTCTACAAAGTCAAATCCAGTCTTTTCTGTTATTTTTATACATTCAAATGTCAAAAGTTATGAGATTGTAAATCAAACAATAATAATAATAATAATTTATTTCTTAAATGTTGATCGTGGTTAGATGGTTTCTTAACTGGGCAGGTCAGCACATAGACAAATATGACTAGCCAAAATTACCAAACAAGAAATAGATCAATAGCTTACCACTTTCATCATCTGAAAGAACTTTGCATATCTTGGATCCTTTGACACTGTCATTGCTGTGAATCATGACCCAAAATAACACAAATAAAATACACAATAATACTAACTTATTAGTGTCAAATTATCAATTCTATATCAAGAAGTTTCTTTTAAAACTTGTTGTTGTCACACAAACATGATTGTCTAACACAACTTGAAGATTGCTAGGATACCAATAGAAAAAAAAAAACTTGATGGGAATCAGAGTAGGGACCTTAAAGTGCACCTAACACCTCAAAAATGACATTAAAAAAATAGGGAAGTTTCTAGGAGCTTAGTAAAAAAAATGACTTGATTTCATTCAAAAGTCGAGTTTCGCGATCTCTTTTACACTGTGTTAGCCTCAATTGTGTGCTAAAATATTCAGAAATGTAGATAAAACTTGTGAGATTTCAAACTTTTTCCATTGTCTTCTATACTSACAGATCTCTTGCATTTGCACGGTCTGTTGTGAAGAAAAGAATTTATTACATGGTTTTGAGGCTAACAYAGCGTAAAAGAGATAGCTAAAGGGTTTATTGCTGATTTTTKGCAAATGTTTTACCTTGGTGTGTTTACATTTTTAACTAAAAAATCTATAAATACTCTACTACCGACAGTGTTTACATGAGGATTTCTCAGTATCTGATACTGGGTCACAAGTCACATGATTCTGTAGAATTACATTTTCTTCTTTAAATATCTTGCAGGTACMCAATATCTGTACACTGCTCAGCTATTTCAAAATAAAGTCGAATACTAAATACTATGATACTGCATGGCATAATCCAATGCTGAAATGTGATGTAAGTTGCCATTAGATCCATATAATTAGCATTACTAAATGATAGTAAATGCACTTCTAAGCTGACCAGCAATGTATTTCAAGTAACATATTATCAACATATATACATTCTCTGAAGTACTTAATACTTTTTTTTAAATAGCTGCTGTTAGTAATTACAAAAAAATCTTCACCTTTATTATAACATTTTCAATTCTACATTTATTTTCATGAGAACATGAAATTACAGTAAATTGCTACTTACTTGGAACTTCTGGTTCTATAAATTAAGAGAAAAGTAAGATATTATGAAAATGATTTTACCATGAATTCAATTTACACATAAGAAATGAAAATCATTTCACTATGATGTACATTAAAATAAATTTTTACAATAAAAAGAAAAATCATCATSAGAATCAAACAAAAAAGTGTACTACTAGGGCTTTTATGCAATTCCCTTAGGGAAAAGCTTGAACATAAAGCACTTGCTTTGTTTTTGGTATTTTTGTATTGCTAAACCCTCAAATATWTTTCATGGTTGTTCAGATTGATAAAGTATGTTATATATCTCTGAAAGAGAAATAATTTCCTTAATGAACGAAAGGCCTGGCCCTAGCTATCTATTGTGTTTATGCTAGTTAGGATAGTGTTGTGTTTGAGAAATGTATTTCTCAATGATTGTTGTCGGCCAAGACTCTACTACGCTACAAGCGTTTACAATTTTTTCTACTTCTGGTTCTTGTTAATAAGATATTAATTTGTGTTTACTTTGTCAGTAAAATGTGATTTGTTGGCYTGGACCGACCAAGGCACTCTGTGTGCCGAGTCATTATTGGGACTTGACGTGACTTGGATTACGTTTGAGTAATTTTTAGGTCCTAGTGACCCTGTCACAGTAGTTGTTCATTTCACTGTGAATTATTGAGGATAAGTGCTGATTTATCAATAAAATTATGCAAAAATGAAAACTTAACTGAAATACTAAAAAAAGACACAATAAATTTTGAATTTATAAATGGATATAGATGAACAGAAAATTGAAAAAAAAATAAATGGGACGAATAAGAGAAGGCATGGAATGCCCAACAGTGAAGATAAAAATCACAATAATAAAGTGTAATAACGAGTACCATGAGTTGAAGTCCAACCAACATTACTCTATTTGACCAGAAACTCATAAGGGGATTGAATTCAATCCCCTTATGAGTTTCTGATTTGACTTAATAAAGTGTATGTTATTTTACTGAGATATACCTTGTTCTGGTTCAGGTGCTTGAGGTGCTGAAGGACCAGTATTCTAATAATATCATCAATTATAATGATTACATGATTATCGTAATAAGAATTTACTTGATGTCTCAATCAAGTAAATAATAATAAGTAAAAYCAAGTAAAATCAATAACTTTAGGTTATTACAAACATTTTGATATTTTTACAAAAAAAAAGAGATATTGTGCAACTTAACCTACCTCTCACATCTCCCATCCCTACACAATTTGCAATATTTTTGTATGTAATGAACATTTGACAGTRGATAAAAGACTACAAAGTCAGTGCAGGATGGAATGAATTCTGTCATGTTTGCAAAATGACAAGTCACTTATAGTTACATATTGTGTTATAAAATTACCCGGTATTTTTGCCAAAGTATTAGCTATGAAAGGCAAAGTGTTACAAGGTATTCACAATGAATTAACAGCATTTAAAAGACTWAAAAGACTATAAGACATGTTTTGCTGTGATCGGTCACAAATCTGGAGGATTGTAGAAGTATTTTTTGGATATTCTAAGAAATCACTGATAATATTAATGATGAATTTAAATACCTCTACTGATGCTGTAGTGGTAGGTGGAGCAGCCTGTGGTGTTGGTGTTGATACTGTAGGAGCTGCTGATTGTGAGGATGCTGATGGTACTGTGACATCATCAAGACCAGGAATGGAAGACAGCTAACATACAAGGAAAAACAAATACAGTAATCACAATAAATTTAGTTGTCACTGTTGAATATTAGTTAGTTATATGAAGGCCAAGAATGCCACACTTTACCAATGAGATTGCCATTGAATTGAAGATAAACAAACTTGGAAGAGGACATCAAGCAAAATTATATTTTTATCTAAGTAGATCTTGATATTGAAAGTCTTTCTTTTGTAAGGTTTTAAGTTTTCAATTATTTTTATATTTTGAGTTTTTACAGCACTAAATATAATTGCAGTTCTTTTGAACATTAGATGTACTTTTGAATTGTTTTTACTATCATGTCGAAACAATGACTTGAATGTTGAATTCRACAAAGTTTCCTTCTGAAAACAAAACCAGCACAAGAATAAAGCAGGAAACAATTTGCATTTGATAACAACAAAAAGGTAGTGCAAAAATGATATTAGAACAATGTCTTTTTTTATATTAAAATATAACTCTTATTCAGYCTGTAAACTACATGTAAGAGAATCATCAGCCATCAGTCTTAGACTGTACAGATCTTGACCTGATATTTCTTTGTACAAATCCTACAATTGAAGGGCTGCCTGCAAAAACGGCMAAAGKCACTTTTAAGGGTATTTTTGAAATTTTTGATAAATAAAAAAAAAATCACTTCACTCAAGTACTTTCAGTCTGAATTGTCTTATTTGCTACTTATTTCTTGTTATTTCCTCCAAAAAGGGTTTCTGTAATCTAGGGCAAGGATAAGGGTTCCTAATTTGGCATTAGGGTTTGGGTTATGTTTTTGGGGTGGTGTATGGTTGGTTTTGGGTTAAGGTTTTTTTTTGCCCGTGTTCTTCCCTCCCTCCCCCTCAAAGCCTGCACTATATGCTTACTGATCGTTTAAGTTGTGCGTAAAATGACATTGATAACATGAATAAAATACTTAGTTAGTTTGAAATTAAAGCTAAAGGTGAATTCATCAAAACAAAGGGGGAAAATGCAGTTTTGAAGCTAATTTACTGCATTGAAAATAACACTAACTTTTTGGTAGTGATTTCCCCCACAAAATTCTGGATTTAAATGAGCAAATTCCTGTTTGTACCAAAATTCWGTCCTAGTTCTGTCATTTCAGTGTAATATCTTTCAGAAAGAAAACCGGAGAAATAAGAACTAAGTAAGATTATTTATACTGATAATTAAAGATTGAAGTGATTTTTTTCAATTTATCA